TTTTCTGTGTATGTAGGCAAGATATCGCGGTTTCGATCACACCATGAGCTTACTTTTGACGAGTTCTTTCTATCGAGCTCATCTTACGTTTATCGTTGATTTCTCCTAACGCACTGGGGTTTTTTTCATTTTGACTCCACCATTGTCTTCCTCATGGAAAAACCTTTCAAACGAGCATAAGGTTGATAGGGTTCTGATGTACCTACTGCTAACTAGCGTCCTACCATTCAAAACCCTATCAACCTTATGCTCGTTTGAAAGGTTTTTTCACGAGGAAGACAATGGTGGAGTCAAAATGAAAAAAACCCTAGTGCGTTAGGAGAAATCAGCGATAAACGTAAGATGAGCTCGATTGAAAGAACTCGTCAAAAGTAAGCTCATGGTGTGATCGAAACCGCGATATCTTGCCTACATACACAGAAAAAGCAGATTTTTTGTCTTTTCGGTAACCGTCGGATACATTTTTTAGTCTTTCCGGTAACCGCCGGCCACATTTTTTGTCTTTCCGGTAACCTCCGGACACATTCTTCGGTCTTTCCGGTAATCTCCGGACTCATTTTTTGTCTTTCCGGTAACCTACAGACACATTTTTAGGTCTTTCCGGTAACCTCCGGACATATTTAATGTCTTTCCGGTAACTCCCGGACACTTTTTATGTCTTTCCGGTAACTCCCGGACACTTTTTATGTCTTTCCGGTAACTCCCGGACACTTTTTATGTCTTTCCCGTAACCTACGGAAACACTTGCTGTCTTTCCGGTAACCTTCGGACAATTTCATGTCTTTCCGGTAACCCCCGGACACACTATTTGTCTTTTCGGTAACCCTGCCGGGATGTTTTGGTCTTTCGGTAACCCATCTCTGGGCCTTTCCCGGGCATCTGTCCGTTCGGTAACCCCAAAACCACTGGACACGTTTTTGCCCACTTTTGGTAGAACGACCCAAATACTTTTGACCGTGTAGTGTAAACCAAAATTGTTACCTGTTCGCACAGAGTGACCTTTCCGTAATAAATTTTTGTTCGAAATTAACAACCAGGCCCACCCTTCCACCAAACAGAGTTTTCAGCTAAAATTTGCAATCGGTATCGGACACTACCCCGGTGTGCTGACCCGTCAGTCTTCGGTCTCTCTCACTAATATCTGACGTGAAATGCGAGTGAGACCGAAGTAGTGCCGGGATAGTGTCCGACCGATTTCAAACTAACTTTATTTCCAGCTCCACTTGCTTCGGTAGCAACTCAGTCTGGCAGAGGCCTGGTCTTTCTTGCCAACCGACGGCGTTACATGTCCCTTTTTGCCTTTGTACTATTATTATTTTATATAAGGCTAGTATGCTATTTCCCATTGTTTTAAACTTTACTGCGCATCCCTTGCAAACTAATGAAATAAGACAGCAAACAGGGTTATTGTCTAAACATGGGCCAACTAAAGTGGTTATTAGGACGCCTCGGAAAATCAAGGGATTTTTGCCATATGTTTTGCACTGGAAAACAGATTAAGCTTTAAACTGTTCTGAACAACTTGGAATAACTGTATATTTGTTGCAGGCCTTTATTTTAGAGTCAAAGGAAATACAAAACTGTTTTTGATCTCTGTATTATGATCGAAATTTAAAATGATCGTATTATATGCAATCCTCAAACTAAGAAATCCTGATAACTACTCGTACTCGGCATAGTCGCAATCTTCTTCTTCCTCTTCCGCAGAGGTTTGACCGGTGGTTTTTGTTTCACCTCCTGGACTGAGCCGAGCAGGGCTTTGTGATCCACCCTTTGAAGAACTTGGCGAAATTTTCTGCGAACCTTTTTGAGAAACGTCCTGTGAAACTTTGTGTGAATCATTTTGCGAAGCTGGCTGCGATCCAGTCCCTGGAGCACTCGGCGAAGCAGCTGAAGAGCTGCTAGACGACTTTGCCGAAACAAGCAGCTGAATGAGGACTGTTTCTGCCTTTTGGAAAAATGTGTTGTACAAGTTAAACTGGACACTAGTCAGAAGATGAGTGTCTGCATTCTGTTCCTGGATGAGAACATTAAGGAGCTGAACGCCGACGTTTGTGATTGCGACGCGGACTTGGTCGGCCATCTGGGGGGTTTGGGTTTGGGTCTTCGATATTTTCTCCGCGATCGATCGGACAGCACTTTCGAACTTTTGATGAGCAGATTCGTGGATCTTGCTCAGTGCAGGTTCCCAAGAGTTGACGATCTTCTGCGATTCCTCTCTGATTTTGTGGATACTAGTTTCGTCAGTTGCTGCTGCTCCCTATGAAAATTATACAGAAAAAACGATAACAGAAAACAAACGATTTGTTTACCTTTTACAGGGTGCACCTGGACCAAAGACCTCAGGACATTTCGGAGTTAAAGTGCCCTGCTTGCAGCCGTGCGGATAGGCTCCTTTATTCGAAGCCTTTCTTCTTACGAATTGGTAACTCGTCCGCACAACAGGATACGCGACACTATAACTATATTGTGATCTGGGATCTGTGGGCTACCCTAGACATCATCAGTATCTTACCTTCGCACTCAGACGCTGGTTAAGAAAACTTTTATACTTCGTAGAGATTTCAGAAGCCTGCTTCAACTGCAGCTTAACGAAAGTGCTAAGTTCAGCCTCAAGTTTTTGTTCCACTTCGTTTAACTGCGCGATAACTTCCGTCTTAACAAGATTCGGTAGTGTTTTGACCAGAGCTTCCTCAGCAGAGCTTAGGTTCTTCTTCTGTTGGGCTAGTTTAGAGGACCATTGTTTCTCGAGAAGTTTTGGTATGGAGTCTCCAAGGAGTTCTGCATCCTTGACTTGCTTCGTAAAGTCTTCCTGTTTTAAACAAAATACACAGTAAATATTGAGTTCGTTTTGTTTTTGCCAAAAAGGCGTAGTGTTAGATTGTACTTACAGTTGCAGATGCCACTGCTAGCAGGAATAATAGAGACACAAAGCAATTGAAAGCCATAATGCTGGCTATATGCTCTCCGAAACCAACAGGACTCTCTTGCGCGCCCTATTGCCGACAACCTTATAGACTGAGAACACCGATAGCTCGTGACCGACGTCATTGCAGGAGGACAGCTTACGGGTTTCGCACGACGTGCTCACATAAAAGTGTGTTTTTATGGTTAATGTCACTCGCAAATTAAAATAAAAAGAAGTTGAAAAGGGCACACAAACAAGGGACTGAAGGGACTGTGTAAAAAGATAAAAAAAAAAACACACAACCGGGAGCACTTAAGTTAAAACTTTTTTCGTGGGAATACGGTTTCGGTAATTTTTGCGCATGCAGAGGAGTTCTATTTTCCTGCGCTCTCTTTTAAGCAGGCACAGTCTAACTGGGCTCTAAAGTGCAGTGCGTGATAGCCTACTCTGGCGCCTAAGTTGTACCCTTAGGTGCTGAGCGGTGTTATGAGGTGGAGACTTCAAACTAAGCTTGATGAGCGTTCACTCTCAAAGTTGCCTTCCTATACAAACATTATTGAAATTCATCTGCATGGTATTTCACCACTAATTCCTAATGGAGAATGCGTTTATGCTGGAACTTTTTGGGAGAGAGGCGGGGAGGTGTCAATTGAAAGGAAACCTATCAAGAGTACACCCAGAAAAATGATTTCTTGTTTCAAGTACATTTGTACTAGAAGTGACCCAAGATTATTTTTTTCCTTGTTTCCAAGACGATTTTTGCTTTCAAGTAAGAAAATTTTCTTAAATGAAAGCTAATATCATCTCGTGTAAAGAGTAAAATTGATCTTAGGTCAAAATATTCTTGAAATAAGAAAACATTTTTCTGGGTGTAGGGACTGGGGTGAACCTGCAAGGAGCGAAAGAGGGAGTCGGCATGAGAAAATTGGTCAAGTTTAGGTGCAAATTCATGACGAGCGCCGAGTTCATCTAACACGATAGTGCCTCACACTAGTGACTTGCCAGTGACTATACTGTTCGTGCACTGCAGTGTCTGTGTGTGTATTTGCGATCTTTGGGCTTTATAACGTCTTTCCCATTGTTTTAGAAAACTATCCACGCCTCTATCAACTCAAATGTGTACATGGTACACATTAAATAAAGTGTACATGACATGTATGCTTTAATTCATGTGTACATGGCATGTATACTAACGGTTGTATGTACACTTTAAAATATGTGTACATGGGCATGCACACATTTATAAAGGTGTACATAGGCATGTACACATTAATTAAAGCATACATGACATGCACACTTTATTTAATGTGTACCATTCCATGTACACATTTGAATTGACAGAGTGACTATGAAACAACACTGATAAAAGGAATGGGCAACGGACATGCGGATGCTCGCACATGGTAGGGTTCAACGCCATAGTGCACACTTTTACACTGTTATTCAAATAATGTGACGTCCCATTCTATATAATGTGAACTGTGTATATTTAGAATATCATGTCTTAGAATGTAACATCCCTGCATCGCTCTGCCCTCAAGGTAGGCGCACTCATGTCACGTTATAACGAATGTGACATGATATTCTAAATAATGTGACACAATTCACATTTTATAGAATGTGACATCACAGTACAGTACTTGAATAACAGTGTAGGTGTTAGAGGAAATATCAATACTAATAAAGTGTTCAGCTCCATGTGTTAAACTTTGCCATTATAAACAGTAACTTAGTCAGTATCCAAATATTCAAACACGTAGTGATGTATTGTTGAGCAATATTCTTGCATGAGCACGCAAGTCGCACACTTTCTTTATCAGTGAAATATGTGCTATACTATTCGCCCGTCCTGCGTCAATTTTGCACACGCCACTGCGACTCTATCAAGCCCCTGGTAGATGTGCGGCCCCCAGGGAAGTCCAATAAATTTGTCTTCGTGTGCAGAAAACGGAGCGTGAGCGCCCATAATGCGGACGGCTTTTGTTTCACAGAGAATCGCACGTCAGGCTGCACAAACAGCGCTGATGAAGCGGCGCGCAGGCGCGCACCCGACGGCCTCAACAAGTCGAAATATCTCGTCAGTCTTTTGCAGCGTTGCATTAACACCAGTTCAGATGCGATTCATTGCTCTTATTCTTCAGCCTGCCCATTACCCACAATGCCATGTCGGTTTTTGGCTCGCCTTTCTGCTTTTAAAAAAGCATTAAAGCAGGCTTAGGTAACCGCACTGTAAAAAGCTTGCGAAGAACTATTCTTTGCATTCCAAAGAATTTTCAAGCATTGTAAAATGCTTTGCATTGCGAACTAAATCCTTCGCATTGTGAACTAATTCTTCGCACCTTACGAAGAATAGCTCATAACGCTGCAAATAATTAGTTCGTAAACTTGCAAACCATTTCTTCGCAACTTACGAAGGAAATAGTTTGGAATGCAAAGAAAATAGTTATTTGGAATGCAAACTTGCTTACAAAGCTTGGAAATTTTTTGCAAGGATTTTGCAGTGCGCTCTCGTGTCCGTCTGTGTGTCTGTCGTCCGTGTAAGAGGAAGGAGATGAGCAAGAGGTATACAAATTTCAGCGTATCTTAGGGGTCACTCCTGGACAACGAAACGCCTGGTGAAAATCCTGGCAACCATCCCTACGGGGGTGAAAGGAGGTAACAAAGAAATAGGGGTTGGTCCAAAAAGTAGGAAAAAAATATTTTTTTAATGGTCGTTT